TGGCTCTGCTCTGGGAAGATAACTGCGGTTCTTGGAGAAGACCAATCACAGGGCTAAACCTAGAGGGCTAATTCAATGGACAGATGGAGAGGGATGCAGACTCCACTCCAAATGATGCAAATAAGCAATGAGTGGCTTTATGAATGGTCTCTGTATAGTTTATATACCGGCAAAAAGTAAATGCATATCTAGTCAGGTAAGGCTTTCTAAGGAGTCCAGAAGTTTCCAAAGGAAAAACTGCCCTTCTTGATATAAATTATTTAACGCAAATGTGAATACTGGGAGTGATTCCTATATTTATTTAATAAAATTAACTGCTTCTACTGAGGATCTAGTGAACAAACAAAACATTCCCTCTACCTTCACAATGCTTATAGTCTAGTCATCTGTAAGAAGTCAAGAGAGAATGATCTTACTCTATAATGATGATCCAAAGATTTTGAAATTTTTTTTCTTTATAGTCTCTTGTTAGAGGGGAAAGACTCGTTAAAGTAAAGAGAGCTGACAGTCCCTTAAATACTTGTAGGCCATCAGGCTTTTTGATAAAGATGTTATAAATCCAACCCTAGCACCAACTTATTTGCTCATAAAAGAAAAGTAAATGTTTGCAATGTTTCATAGCCTAACGATTAAAGTAAGGGTGAAAAATTTAAGCAAAATTAATTCCACTGATATAGAAACATAGGGTGTTGACTTACTCAAGTTACTCTACTTATAATTTGATAAGAAAATGACAGTAGGTAAAAATGTACATTTTCCCCGTGTTCTCTAACTCTAATGGGGCTGGGGAGAATTTATAACACGAGGGTGGAAGGAATCAGAAAAGACACTGCTGAACCTTACTGTGCGTGAGCCACCACCTTGGCCCTGCGCAGGCACCCATGTATGAGTTGCTCAGAAGCCCACAGGCAGTGGGACAGCTGGGGTGGGGTCCTCACTGTGCTAGCCCCCCGATCTTAGGCAAGTCCTTCCAGCTTCAGGAACCCCCTCCTGAAACGGGGTCCTCCCAGTGCTCAGACCTAATGACAGGATCATGCAAGAGATAGGTGCGGCGCTTGGCAGAGAGCGGGTGCTCAGGAAGACGCCTTGCCCAGGACTCCCAGGATGCCCCCAGGCCAGCAGGTGCTCCTTTCCCAACACGCGTGCCATTTCCTGGAGGCAGAGGGGTTTCAATGTGGGAGTCGAGTGGAGCCCGCAGCTTATTAAGTCATTACAACGAAGGTCACTGGGCAGCGTATAATAAATTGTAATGAAGCCTCAATTAGTTAAAATTATTGGGAATTGTGGAGATATGGTGTTCTCATTGAAAGTATTTTTCAGATGGCTGATATTTAATTACGTCCCCAAATACTCAATATTCATACTTTATGGAAGGCATGTGTCTCTTCTGTAACAAGGCTTCCCCTAAATAAAATCTCGGCCAGAGGGTATGGCGCTGAGGCTCAAGAAAGTGGTAAAGTTGTCAGGATGTTTATCCTGAGTCCTCAGCCTCACCATTGTTTTCAGCACCGCAGTATTTAAGCAACTGAAAATTTCATTCTTTTCGGACAGCCCGTGGCTCTAAAAAAATTCCTCGTTCAAAAACAAAACAAAACACATTCACATCAATAGGAAAAATAACTCTGCCTGACGTCTCTCTGGAGAAATGTTTGCAATCAAAGATGAATGAGATGCTCCCTGCCTCTAAGGAGCCCAGAGAACAGCAGAGAGATGCAACCGAACGGATGCAGAAACCATGTGACTGTAACAGCAGGGAGCCATCTCCAAGAGTAACGGGTGACACAGAGGATTAAATGACTAATTCCACCTTGGAGATGCACACGTGGGCACAGAGAGAGGCACACCAGACCAGGGGGCTGAGGAAGGGCGACTGGACAGGTGATGGGAGAAGGTCATGAAGAGTGTGCGATGGCAGAGGAGAAGGAGAGAGGAGGACAGCTGGGGGGAGCTGCATGGTCCCCCAAAACTGGGGGAAGGACCGAGCGACAAACCTGAAACAGGCGTTGCAGCCTGACTTTGACCGGCCTAGAGCCTCTTTTGGGTTTTGGTCTCTATTCAGTAGGCCCTGAGTGCCTGTGCCAGACTTGATAATGTCAAAATTTGAAATGTTTTTTGACAAAAGAAATCCTACTAAAGAGGAAATATGCTAATTGACCCTCATGCCATCGCAAAGATGGCGGTGCCCACAGCCAATAAGGAGGGAATATGTTAATTGACTGCCCTGCCCTCAAAAATGGCGGTATCCACAGCCAATAAGGAGGGAATATGCTATTTGACTGCCCCACCCTCAATGATGGCGGTGCCCACAGCCATAAGATGGGGGCGTCCAGTCCCCTCATCCCTGCCGGGGCAGCAGGCGCGTGGCAAGGCTGGGCCTGCCGGGTCCAGCTGCTCTGCGCACCTGCCTCCAGAGTTTCCCAGGCCCCTCAGCCCCCCAGCTGCTCAGGGCCAGCCCGAGGCACAGGCAAGCCTTGGATGGTGGCTGCACAGGGCCACCCAAGGCTCATGTAACCAGGGCCAGCTGAGGCTTGCACTGCCGGCAGTGGCAGCAGCAGAGGTGTGAAGGGGCATCGCCTTCCCCTGAGGGCTCCTGGACTGTGAGAGGGGGCAGGCCGGGCTGAGGGAACCCCCCCTCCAGTGCATGAATTTTCATGCACCGGGCCTCTAGTAACCAATAAAAAGGGAAAACTGTTCATTTTGTTCAACAGAAGGTGTGTGTTACAGAAGTGTTGCTGGTACAATAATAGTTAAATTGAACATCTGTCTCCTGAGTTATAGAAAGGCCACTGCCCTGGCCATTAAGAGGTTTAGCAACTAAAGGAGCAATTTTCCCACCCAAACCCCAGGGCCCTTCTCCCCTCTATCATGCATCTCTCCTTTGAGTACATCATTTACTTCCCATCAGTGGCCCTGTGACCCTGAATGAATGAGTTTCCACCACAGACGTCTTACATACAATCCCGGTGTTTCCATCCCAACTGCCTGAGGTGGGCTCCCTCCTGGGCGAACATAACTTCTCCTTTCTTTCCGTCCTTCTTCCTCCTCCTTTCCTGCCACCTCCTGACATGAACTGTAAATCTGGAACTTTTCACATGAAGGAAAGGAAAGGCATACTTTATGCACCGTGTCATATCCCACTTTGCATCTGCTTTAGATGATGGATAAGCACACACAATTTGGTTGAGTGAGACACTTTCCTTACATAATTGGGCCAACGAACAGGCAGCCCTTACCTCATTCGGTGTGAGGTCAGCCACATGCCCGTCTGCGTGCGGACAGGCCGGTAAACAACCCCCGCTATGGAGACAGGTCACTGTTCTGTGAACAGCATCCTACCACCGGTTCACGATCTCATGGAAACAAGGCTTCCTCTGACTAGCCCACGCCATGTTCATCCTTTCGGTGTTCAGAGGAAATTGAACTGTAATTACTGACTTTGCTGCTGCATTTGATGGAGATGAAAGAAGGTAAAGCCTTTTAGAACCTGAAGAGTTCCCATGCTTGGTTACAAGGGCTCTGTGGACAGACCCCTCTCTCAAGCAGGACCCCACAAGCCTTAGGGGCCACAGCAATCGCTGGCCTTTTTCAGGGGCGCACACATGCAAGGGAACGAGGAGGGCGAAGTTTCACAGCCTTTCATCCAGCCAGAGTGAGTCAGGGTTCCGTTTGTAGAGTGGCCGGGACGCGTGAGGGGTTAGGGCTTGCTGAGTGCCTTTCATGACATGTGTGTGATGCTCACAGCTGGCGGATGTGCTCACAGAGATGAATGACACCCTTCCCCCACCGCGGCCGCACTGTCTGAGCAGCTGAACCATCACGGCCCGCTGCCCGCTGGCATCGCGACTCACTGACACAAAGGGGCCTGCTGCAGGGACTCGTGTTAACAACAAAGGGGTACCCACCCCTGCAATGAAAATCCCCTTTTAGACACACGTTGGTCCCTGAGTGGCAGGGCTCATGTTCCAAGGAAAAAACAAGGACGGGCTGGGTTTTATGGCTACAGGAGGGGTGCGCCTGGAAGACCTCACTGGCCCCCCTCCCCTTCCCTGAGTGAGAAGACAGAAAAAAGGGGGAGGCAAGAGGCAGGGAGAAAACCCAAGCGATGAGAGAAATCCGGAACTGGATTCGTGAGTGTGACTTCACAGAAGTTTTGACCCAACAACAGCACCCCAGATAAAGTGGGGTTTGGCCCAAGGTGGTTGTCTCCAAGAGCACATTATGGGGTGACTAGTTCCCAAGACAGTTTCACCCACCAGGTGAGTGACGCCAGGTGAGGTCCCTGGGGGAGTGATGCTAGTCTGTGACAAGCTGGCACCGGAATAAGACTCTACTGCTTGCTTTATTGGGAGCTCTGCTATGGAAACCTGGGCGGGACAAAGCAGCTGTCTGTCTGCACTTGGCTCAGGCTTCCTTCCTCTTCCAGCAATGGCCAACGCCCCCTGCTGGCCAGCAGCAGTCTGCACCTTGCAGCTGCATTTGGGGGACCACTGCATGGGATGCAGCCTGCTGGATGGTGCAGTCGCCGGTAAGGAAATGGTGGTGGTGGTGGTGGGGGTGGGGGGCGGGCTGGGGGGTGTGCTCAAGGACACAGCTAGCAGGTGGCACAGGGAGGACTTCTCTCCTTCCCGCCAGCTCAGTGGGCTCGCCACACACCGTGATTTGCCACTTAGGAAAAGCAATTAGAAACCGTCTCCCCTAGGGGGCAATCAGAGATGCATTCAGGCAGTCTTTCCACGATTTGTCTGGAGACCAGCACTTAGGACTCAATCAGGATTCAAAGAATAAAAATAAGACACAGCCACGTCACTCTCTGTGGATGTAGAATTTGCTGTCAAAGTATTAGAAATGTGGACACAGATCCTGGATTTTAAGAAAAGGGCTCTTAACCTAATTTGGCAGAACTGAATGTTAGTGTTTCGGCATCATAACAGGTAACATGAGAGAGAGGTGCTCGCCTCCATGGAAACGGTGCCGGGAAAGCAAGAGTCTGCGTGGTTTACCTTCCAGGTGACCCTGATGCTCTGAGACGAGATGGGCTCCAGGTGGACTTCCTGAGGTGGGCCATCAGGAGCTGAAAGACCAAAACCCACAGGCCGTTAGAAGCGGGTTCCACATGGACCAACACCTACACAGCAGGGCACAGGCCCAAGACAGGCCGCTCAGCACCAAGACGCATGTTGGAGGCACGCCAATCTGGCAGGGTCACTGTGCACTGAGTACCCCGGGGCTCTCCCGCTCCCGGGAAAAGTGACTCTCCAGGGCTGCCCTCACCTCCTTCTTCTCCATGGCCTCGGCAACTTGATTAGTAAACTCAAGTGTGAGCAAGTTAACGGGGTAAAACAAGACATTCCTTTTATAAAACTCTGCCTGTGGTGCTGTTGAGTGAATTCTCTTTCCCTTGGAAGTCTCTGTTAGTGACATGGCTTTGGGGCCGACCAGCTACTCAGAGGTACTGAGGCAAAAAAAGAAAGAATGAGACAGAAAGAATGAGAGAGACAGAGAGAGAGACAGAGAGAGAGAGAGAGAGAGAGAGAGAGAGAGAGAGAGACAGGATCCTTCTGCCTGAGTCTCTGTGTTTGCTTTAGTTCTTCATACTTTCCAATTACAAATTCTTGTTAGCTAGGTGCCATGGCCACAGATGGCAGAAGCAAAGTTAAAAAGCAAAAGTGTGCAACTCACACCAACCTATTTCTAATGGCTGTTGGATTCCAATTACATCCAGTTATAGTCAATTAGCATGTATTGGAAATGTACTGTGTGCTAAGTACATCGTGTAGAACTAAGGGATGTAGAGCATCCTTGTCCCCCTGAGTTTGTGATCTAACCAGGACAGACGAGATGACATGGCTATAGTCAAGTGTCATCTGAGAAGCAGAAGCAAACAGTGGCCCAGGAGTCAGTAGGGAGAGACCCCTCTGAATGGAAAGGTGTTGTTGGGTTGATTTCTGTGGACATGGCACCCTTTGTGGAAGGGTGAGGAGCATCGGGGGCTAAGAAAGCAGAAGTAGTGAGTGTGAGCTCATTGTGAAGAATTTGAAAGTGAAAGGAAGGGTAGAGATGAAGGTCAGATTGGAGACTGGCAAGGGCAAGGGAAATGTTTCCTGCTGGGGTCCAACCCCAGCAGGTCCAGGGGTCCCCAAAGGTGTGGACGGAGTCGGCGAAGAAGGAATGACACGAAGACAGCCTTCAGTTGATCAGCAGCCTAGTCAGGACCTCTAGCCAGGATCTCCAGCCAAAGTTCTGGTTAGGATCTGATCAGGATCTGATGAGGATCTGATGTTTATTGTCTTGTTACATCCATATTTATACCAGCCGATTTTAATCCTGTCAATTTCTATTACAAAGGTTAGGGCGTTTCTTATCTCCATTCCAGGGAGTAAAGATTATGTAGCTTAACTACCCGCCTGGCACTTAATTAAGGGGTTGTATTCCCTCCCTAACCTCAGGGAAAAATCCCCACCTGGGGAAACAACCTTTCTCAGAGAGGTGACCTTGGTTAAAACACATGGCACTAAGGAGAGCAAACATATTAAGAACAATATGCTATATATGCCAGGTCCCTTGAAACATATGCTGTGCAGATGTTTCTTTCCTGCAGCGACTGTGTCAAGCAGCAAGGATGGACCGGCTTCCAGCAGTTTCCCTTTTTTCAGAGAAAGGAGTTTTGAGCAATAACAGGAGGCACAGATGCTTCTCGTCTTACCAAGGGGTTATGTCCTAATGAACCCACTCAAAGTTGAAAACATTGTAAATGAAAATGAATTGAATACCACACTGTAGTCCAGTGGTGGGCAAACTCATTAGTCAACAGACCCAAATATCAACAGTACAACGATTGAAATTTCTTTTGAGAGCCAAATTTTTTAAACTTAAACTATATAGGTAGGTACATTGTTATTAACTTAATTAGGGTACTCCTAAGGCTTAGGAAGAGCCACACTCAAGGGGCCAAAGAGCCGCATGTGGCTCTCGAGCCGCAGTTTGCTGACCACGGCTGTAGTCTATGGTTGTTCACCTTTGTGATTGCGTGGCTGGGAGCTGTGGCTCCCTGTACCTCCCCAGCCTCACCAAAGTATCACACAGCATATTGCTAGCCCAGGAAAAGGTCAACATTCTCACTTGGAAGTATGGTTTCTACTGAATGCATATTGCTTTGGCACCATCATAAAGTCAAAAAATCAAAAGTCAGCCCCACCAGTGTGTTCAGTGGTTGGGCATCAACCCATGAACCAGGAGGTCATGGTTGGATTCCTAGTCAGGTCACATGCCCGGGTTGCAGCTCAATCCCCAGTGTGGGGTGCACAGGAGGCAGCTGATCAATGATTCTCTCTCATCATTGATGTGTCTATCTCTCTCTCCCTCTCGCTTCCTCTCTCTGAAATCAACAAAAACGTATTTTAAAAAATCATAAGTGGAACCATCCTACGTCAGAGACTGTCTGTGGATGCTAAGTTGGTGGGCATTTCAATCTTTTTCCCTGAGTTCAATTCAGACATTACCACTTAGTAGATGTGGGTGTTTTTGTTTGTTTGTTTGTTTTGTTTTGCTTTTGCAGGCAGGTTACATAGCTTTTCTGTGCCTCAGTCCCCTTCTCTATATGATGGGACAATAAAATTTATAACATAATGTTATGTAATCAGCCTAAGACACATGTTGGAGCTGTGGCCAATATAATTAGGAAGAGATTATTTTGGCACTGCATTTTCCATTCTAAGTTTCTAAAATCTACACTAATAAAAGAGAAACATGGTAATTAGCGTACGACCGCTACCCTTCCCATTGGCTAATCAGCATATCCTTATGCAAATTAACTGTCAGCCAAGATGGCGGCCGGCAGCCATGCACTGAAGCGAGCAGGGAGGCTTGCTTGCTTCAGTGACTGCGGACTCCAACGTTCCCCGCCTAACTTGCCAGCCTCTCAGCTGCAACTCTAAGCAACTATGTACTATGTTGCAAATAAGAAGCTAAACAAAACCCCAGAAACCAGCCGGACTGAAAGCCAGCCAGACCGCAACATTGTATCGATGTTTTCAGCAGCGAGGCCTCAGAGCTAAAGCTGGCCCAGAATAATAATAAAAAAAAAAAGAAAACAAGGAGCGGTTGGGAGCTTCAGTCACTCGCCACCCGGAAAACAGCCCTCAGCCCCTCACCCAGACTGGCCAGGCACCCCAGTGGGGACCCCCACCCTGATCCAGGACACCCTTCAGGGCAAACCAGCGAGCCCCTACCCATGCACCAGGCCTCTATTCTATATAGTAAAAGGGTAATATGCCTCCCAGCACCGGGATCAGCATGACAGGGGGCAGTGCCCAAACCCCCTGATCGCCCTGTGGCTTTGTGTGTGACAGGGGGTGGGGCCACAACCTCCCTATCCGCCCTGCTCTGTTCGTGACAGGGGAAGGCGCCCCAAACCCCTGATCAGCCCTGCTCTGTGCCTGATAGGGGGGAGCTCCCCAATCCCCTGATTGCCCTGCGGCTCTGTGTTTGACTGGGTGCAGCGCACCAACCCCCGCCCCCCCCACGGGCCCTGCTCTGTGTGTGACAGGGTAGAGCCATAACCTCTCCATCGGCCCTGCCCCGAGTGTGACAGTGGCGGCGCCCCAACCCCCTGATCGGCCCTGTTCTGTGGGTGATAGAGGGTGGTGCCCCAACCCCCCTCCATGGGCCTTGCTCTGTGTGTGACAGGGTAGAGCCATAACCTCCCCATTGGCCCTGCCCTGAGTGTGACAGGGTGCAGCGCCCCAACCCCCTGATCCGCCCTGCTCTGTGTGTGACAGGGGGCGGTGCCCCAACTCCCCTATCGGCCCTACTCTGTGAGTGAAAGGGGGGAGCTCCTCAACTCCCTGATGGGCCCTGCTCTGTGCATGACAGGGGGCAGCGCCCCAACCCCCTGATCCGCCCTGCTCTGTGTGTGACAGGGTTCGGAGCCCCAACCCCCCTGATGGGCCCTGCTCTGTGAGTGACAGGGGGCAGTGCCCCAACCCCCTGATCGGCCCTGCTCTGTGAGTGACAGGGGGCAGCGCCCCAACCCCCTGATTGGCCCTGCTCTGTGTGACAGGGGGTGGCGCCGCAACCTCCCCATCGACCCTGCCTTGAGTGTGAAAGGGGGCGGTGCCCCAACCCCCCAATCAGCCCTACCCTGAGCATGACTGAGGGTGGCATCGCAACCTCCCGATCCGCCCTGCTCTGTGCATGACGGGGTGGTGCCCCAACTCCCCAATTGGCCCTGCTCTGAGCCTGACCAGGGGCTGCACTTAGGGATTGGGCCTGCCCTGTGCCACCCGGGAGCAGGCCTAAGCCAGCAGGTCGTTATCTCCCCAGGGGTCCCAGACTGCGAGAGGGCACAGGCCAGGCTGGGGGACCCCCCCTCCCCACCCCCCCAAGTGCACAAATTTTTGTGCACCGGGCCTCTAGTATTATAATAAAAATTTTATATTAAAAAATTAGTCTGCTTTCAGAATTTTAGTTTTTCCTTACAGCTCCTGAGCTATAATTTTTTCATGGGCCCTCACCTCATTGCAAAGAAACAATTTCTGTAAAATGACAGTCTAAGGCAGATTGAATTTCTAACGCTGAAAGTGTTGAAGATCAGCAATTAGGTATCCATTTATTTAACTAAATTGGAAAGCTGTATTGACCTTGACATTTAAGAATTTATATACATGTTTTTGAAGGGAAACTGTTATATATATATATATATATATGGCATAGTTTCTTCCTTTTTAAAACAAAGCAAAACAGAATAGTTAGCTCTTCCCTGAGGGAGGAAGAAGGCTAGACATAAGAATTAACAATGAATGTGATTTTCTAAAATAATCTGCATTTCTACAGAAGCCCAAACTGTTCAATCAGTAAAACACTCATAGGTGAAGACTAAATGTACAGTTCCTAATGTTTTTACCAGGCAAGGCAACTTTCACTAATTCTGTTTGGCTGGAACTACAGTGATGCCAGACCTGGGGCTCAGCCAGACCCACAGGTCTCCACTCTTGCTTCCTCTTGGGTCACCCAGGCTGGCTCCGCCTCCCGCCCTGCGGAGCCTGCTCCTGGGCTTCCTGCTTCCCTGACTGCTCTCTGTGGCTCTCAGCGGACTGTCCTCTCTCTCCCTTCCAACCAGTGACACCAAGACTCAGCCTCAGCGCTCCCCTCTGCCCTCAAAATAGTCTCTCCTGGCTTCACCCGGAATCTTGGTGATAAACCAATCATTCCACTGGCTGAACGACCCCAGTGGGAATCACCCCCTGATGCCCATCTCTGGTTTCCTTATTGGGGAATCAATCGATTGA